GTACCTCATAGGTTCTGTCAGGATTCACTGAGTTAATACATGTAAGTGCTTGGATAGTGTTTAGCATTTAGCAAGTGTTATATGTATTTGCTACATCCTATATTTGAAAAAAACTGAAGAATGAGCAGTTCTCAAGAGGTGACTCAAAGATCAGTGATCAGTTCTTACCTGGCTAAATGTAAAAAGTCTACCAGTGTCATCAAAGTGAAGATGGTTGAATATAAATCAGGAATCCAGGGAAGAGATATAAGTTAGTGAGCCCATTAGGAATTGTCCATGTGTGGCTGGTATTCAAAGCCTTAAGACTCGATGGATTTCATAGAGAAGGAGCACAGATAGAGAAGAGGTTAGAGGCAGGGCCTGAGGCAGTCCAGCATGGGTAGAAAGAGGAGTAGCCAAGGTGGCAGGAAGACGACAAATCATGGCATCTAGAAGCCAACTGAAGAAAGCATTTCCAGGTGGAAGAAGGAAATGACAACATCGTTGAGGCTGCAGGATGGAGGAAGTGGAGGACTGAGAACTGGCCTTTGGACTTAACAGTGTGACGGTCAGGTAAGACATAAACCTAGAGTACTACATATCATAGTATTGGTCAGGATAAAACTTGAATGGGTTTAAGAGACATTAAGAAGTGAAAAGTCAAGACAGTGAACATAGACAATTCAAAAGGGAATCAGAAAAGTAAAGGTCATTTGACTGGGGATGGGATGTAGGGAGATTTACAAATTTTTTAAAAATTATTTTTATTATTTTTGTTGCAGATGTTTCTCCTTTTTCCCCCATTGACACCCGCCTCCTGATCCACCCACTCCCCATCTGTTGTCTATGTCCATTGGTTATTCATATAAGTTCTGTAGTTGATCTCTTCCCTCTACCCTCCACTCCCTCTTCTGAGGTTTGTCAGTCTGAACCCTACTTCTATGTCTCTGGGTTTTTTTGTTCATTATATTCCACAAATAAGTAAGATCATGTGACATTTGTCTTTCTCTGATTGGCTTGTTTCACTTAGGATAATACTCTCTAGGTCCCTCCATGTCCAATCAAAGGGTAAGAGATCTTTCTTTCTTACAGCTGCATAGTATTCCATTGTGTATATGTACCACCGCTTTTTTATCCATTCGTCTACTGATGGACACTTGAGCTGTTTCCAGATCTTAGCAATTGTAAATAGTGCTGCTATGAACATGGGGGTACATATATTCTTTCTAATTGGTATTTCAGGGTTCATATTCCTAAAAGTGGGATCACTGGGTCAAATGGTATTTCAATTTTTAACTTCTTGAGGTAACACCACAGTGTTTTCCATAGTGGCTGCACCAGTCTGCATTCCCACCAGCAGTGTACTAGAGTACCCTTTTCTCCACACCCTCGCCAGCACTTGTAGTTTGATGATTTGTTGGTGGCAGCCATTCTGACGGGCGTGAGGTGAAACCTCATTGTTGTTGTTTTTTTGTTTTTGTTTTTTTTATCCTCACCCGAGGACATTTTTCCATTTTTTGTTCAGATAGAGCGGGAGGGAGAGAGAGGAAGAGAGAGAGAGAAACATCGATGTGAAGGGACACATCGAGTGGCTGCCACCCGCATGACCAACCAGGGCCGGGGACAAACTGCAACCGAGGTATGTGCCCTTAGCGGGAACCGAACCCGGGTCTCTGTACCGCAGGCTGACGCTCCAACCACTGAGCCAAACTGGCCAGGGCTCATTGTTGTTTTAATTTGCATCTCTCTGATGATTAGCGACGTTGAACATTTTTTCATATGTCTCTTGGCCATTTGTAGGTCCTGTTTGGAGAGGTGTCTCTTTAGGTCTTATGCCCATTTTTTAATTGGGTTCTTTGTCTTCCTTTTGTTGAGTTATATGAGTACTTTATATATTTTGGAAATTAACCCCTTATCTGATGTATCGTTAGTAATTATGCTCTCCCATAGAGTGGGTTGCCTTTCCATTTTGATGGTTGTTTGTTTTGCTGTCCAGAAGCTTTTTAGTTTGATGTAGTCCCATGTGTTCATTTTCTCCCTTGTTTCTCATGCCTTAGCATTGTATCAATGAAAATTCTGCTGTCTGAAATTTTGTTGCCTACATTTTCTTCTAGGATTTTTATGGGTTCACGAGTCATGTTTAAGTCTTTTATCCATTTTGAGTTTATTCATGTGTATGGTATAAGTTGGTGGTCTAGCTTCATTTTTTTGCATGTAGCTATCTAATTTTCCCAACACCATTTATGGAAGAGGCTCTCTTTACTCAATTGTATGCTCTTGCCACCTTTGTCAAATATTAATTGAGCATATTACCTTGGGTCCATTTCTGGGTTCTCTGTTCTGTTCCATTGATCTATCTGCCTGTTCTGTGTGCCATTGATCTATGTGCCTGTATCAGGCTGTTTTGATTACAGTGGCTAGATTCACAAATTTTTAAGTGTGCTGTATGTTTACAGGATACTCCAATAGGAAAGGAAAAGTTGATGAGGCAAGAGTGAGAGGGACGGTTTCTGTATTGATTGTGCGTGAGTAGGGGAGAGTGATGGAAATCAGTGCCCAAGTGACTGGATTGTCCTTAAACTGAAGAATCTTTTGAGATGATCATATAATTTTTCTCCATTAATTGGTTTAATCCAGAGTAAATTATATTTATATGTTTTTAGTAATTTGGTTGTTAATTTTATCAGAGTAATATATATATTTGATTGATTATTTTGTATTTGATATTTTAACATATCAAATAATGAGCAAGGCCTTTAAGAAAACCAGCAGTCCTGGCCAATTTTGCTCAGCAGTTAAGAGTGTTGGCCCATAGACCGAAGAGTCCTGGGTTCAATTCCCAGTCAAGAGTATGTACCTCAGTTGCAAGTTCAATCCCCAGCCATGGTTGGGGTCATGCAGGTAGGCAACCAATCGATGTGTCTCTCTCACGTCGATGTCTCTCTCTTTCTCTTTCTCTCTCTCTCTCTTTCTCCCTCCCCCCCCTTCCTCCCACTCTATCTAAAAATCAATGGAAAAATATCCTTTGGTGAGGATTTTAAAAAAAAGTAAACTAGTAGTCTTTTTTTCCTTCCTCCTTACCTGATGTTTTTTTAATCTTTTATTTAGCACTTCCCTGTGGCATATAGTTCTATCATTTAAAATGATATGCTAGTATAGCTATTTTGTGATTTTTTAAGGCATTGATCTAGTCACATAACACTGCAGAAGAAGCAGATTTCTCTCATAACACTCTTCTTATTCCCCTTTCATTTGTGCAATACATCATAATTGAGGTTAACTGGTAGTCAGTGTTATCATTATTGTGACTATCTAAATTTCCTTATAGCTAAATCATGCACTATATTACAGTTGCATTTCTTTTCTGTGTAACACCTTCCCATATATAATTATTGCCTTGATACATGAATCCAAGCCTATATGTGTGTGTATACATACATGCACACACACACATATATACTTGGATTTATTGTGTCCTCATTACCAATTCTTCCCAAACACTCTACAGAACTATACAAGTCTTCTCAATATGGTGGTGTTAGGCAATGTATCAGTTCTGTTCATCTTCTTGGAACCCTTCATTCTCCTGCTCTAAGTCGTTCTTGTTCCTTTAGGCCTCCATGGCTGACCTCTTTCAGTTTGCATCCTGATTTAATTACATGTATTCCTCTTTCTTGCTTTACTCCCTCGTTTTGAGGTAGCACAGTGTCCATCCTCCTGAATAGAAGTTAATAGAAGGTATGCATATATTTTTAAGATTGTTCATGTATTTTTGTTGTTGTTATTAATCCTCACCCGAGGATATTTTTCCATTCATTTTTAGATACAGATAGAGTGGATGGGAGGGAGGGAGAGAGGGAGAGAGAGGAAAATATCTATGTAAGAGAGACACATCAACCAGCTGCCTCCCACACGACCCCGACCAGGGGTGGGGATCAAACCTTCAACCCAGGTATGTGCCCTTAACTGGGAATCGAACCCGTGACCCTTCGGTCTGTGGGCATCGATGTCAGGGAGAAACATCAATCAGCTGCCTCCTGCATGCCCCTCACCAGGGATCAAGCCTGCAACCTGGGCATGTGCCCTGACCAGTAATCAAACCGGGTCCTCTCAGTCTATGGGACAACACTCAACCACTGAGCCACACTGGCCAGGCTTAATGATTATTTTTATCTTCACACTTGCATGAAAATTTGGTAAGGAGAAGGGCCTATTCTGGGAATGAATTTAGTACATTTTTTTGCACTTTCCAGTATTGCTAATGAGAAGTCTGCTGTCATTCTGATTTATTCTTTCTTCATATGTCACCTGTTTTGACTCTGAGACTTCCTGGTTCTTTAATCACTTGATTTCTGACATGATGATTTGCTTTGGTGTGGAGGGTTTATTCATTGTTCCGGATACTCTAGAGCGCGTTCAAATGGAAAGTAATTTATTTGAATTCACACAATTTTGCTTTTAATATTTCTTTGATAATTTATTTTCTTCTGCCTCTCTCTTCTATCTTTTTGGAATTCCTGGTAGTTGGATATTAGGTCTCCTAGACTGATCTTTTACAAGCTTTCTATTTTTGCATTTTCTTGGCAATCTTTAACAATTTTTTGCTATAAGATTTTTAAATTTTTTATATGTTTTTTTTTTTTTGAGAGAGATAAAGGGAGAGAGAGATTGAAACATCAGTATGAGAGATACATAGATTGGCTGCCTCCTGCACGCCCCAGACTGGGGATCGAGCCCAAAACTTGGGCATGTGCCCTGACCGGGAATCGAACCGGGACCTCTCAGTCCATGGGACGATGCTCAACCCACCGACCCACACCAACTGGGTGGCTATCATGTTTTTAATTTCTAAAAGCTTTTTTATGTTTCTCCTTTTTGATGTTATCCTCTTCCTTAATGAATCTAATATTTTCTCTTTATTACTGAGGATGATAATTTTTTAATTTCATCTGTTTCTTCCAAAGTTCTTTTAAGAGTTCATTTTTTTTCTCAGTTCCTGCATTATTTGTTTGTCCTCAAAGATTCCATCAGGCATCCGCTGGGTGTCCGTCCACATTAGGAATGAGACGTGAACAGCCGACGAGGGCGCTGTGTAATGAAGGGATGCCCCCAGGTGGCTGGTGAGCTTTATTACGCCAGTTTTGCTTTTCATCTCCCACACTGTCTTCTGAAGTAATGGTGCCTCTGATTCCTGAGACCTTTCACAATTCCGAAACCTAAATTGACTTGCCTCTTGCTAGTTTCCTCCTGTGTAAGCAATTATAATTTTTAAAAGATGTATTGAGCCATAATTTAAATACAAAAAATTGTACACATTTAATGTATACATCTTCATGGGATTAGACATATCTATACATTCATGATACCATCACCACAATCAAGATACTAAATATATTTATCATCTCAAAAAATGTTTTCATGTTAGCTATTGGTGCTATGTGTTACAGTAGATCTCTAGAACTTACTCATCTTTCATAACTGAAACTTTATACCCACTGAAAAACAATTTCCTATCTTCCTCTCCCCAGTTCCTGGCAACCACCATTCTGTTCTCTACTTCTATGAGTTTGACTGTTTTGTTTTGGGTTTTTGTTTGTTTGTTTGTCTGTCTGTTTTAATCCTCGTCCAAGGATACTTTTCCATTTATCTTCAGATAGAGTAGGAGGGGGAAAGAGAGAGAGAGAGAGAGAGAGAGAGAGAGAGAGAGAAGCATCAATGTGAGAGAGATACATCAATTAGTTGTCTCCTGCATGACCCCAACCAGGACCAGGACCAACCTGCAACTGAAGTACATGTCCTTGCCTGGAATCTAAACTGAGACTCTTTGGTCTATGAACTGATACTCTAACTGCTGAGCTAAACTGGCCAGAACAAGTTTGACTGTTTTGGATACCTCATGTGAGTGGAATCATGCAGTATTTATCCTTCTGTGACTTAGCAAAATGTTCTCTAGTTCATCCGTGTTGTTGCAAATGGAAGGCATGTCTTCTTTTTCAAGGCTGAGTAATATTCCATAAGCATGTTCTACATTTCCTTCGTTCATCTGTCAATGAACATTTGGGTTGTTTTCATATTTTGGCAAATGTGAATGATATTGATGTGAACCTAGAGGTACAGCTATCTCTTCCAGACCCTGGTTTTAATTCATAAAATTAAATATGCCTGGCTGGTGTGGCTCAGTGGTTGAGCATTGACCCATGCACCAAGAGTTCACCAGTTTGATTCCCAGACAGGGCACATGCCCAGGTTATGGGCCCGACCCCCAGTGAGGAGCATGCAGCTGATTGATGTTCTCTCTCATCGATGTTTCTATCTCTTTCTTCCTCTTCCTTCCTCTCTCTCTAAAATCAATAAAGGAAAAAAATAAATAAATACCCCAAAGTGAGAATACTATATCATATAGTAGTTGTGTTTTTAATTTTTTGAGGAATTTTTATACTGTTTTCTATAGTGCTACATCACTATTTTCCTCTAAAAGGGTCCAAGGGTTCCAATTTCTCCACATCCTTGCCAACACTTTTTATCTTTTTGTTTAATAAAAGCCATTCTAATAGTGTCAGGTGGTATCTCATTGTGGTTCTGATCTGCATTTTTCTCATGGTTACTGATGCTGAACACCTTTTTATACCTGACAGCAATTTTTATGTCTTCTTGGGGAAATGTCTATTCAAGTCCTTTGCTCATTTTCTTAATTGAGGAATTTTATGTTTGTTTTGTTTTTCATTGTTGTTGAATTGTAGGATATATTCCTAAATACTTTGGATATTAACCCCTTATCAGATAGATGGTTACCAGTATTTTCTCCCATTCTATAAGATGCCTTTCAGGCCCTGGCCAGTGTGGTTCACTTGGTTGAGTGTCATCCCACATGCCAAAGGTTGTCAGTTCAATCCGGTCAGGACACATACCCAGGTTGCGGTTTGATCTCTGGTTGGGGTGCATACAGGTAACAACCAATCAATGTCTCTCTCTCACATTGATGTTTCTCTCTCTCTCTCCCCCTCCCTTCCTCTCTCTGTAAAAGCAATAAAAACATATTTTTAAAATAAAATAAAAAGATACCTTTTAGTTCTGTTGGTGGTTTCTTTGCTGTGCAGAACTTTTTAGTTTGATATAGTCAAACTTGTCTATTTTTTATTTTGTTGCCTGTGCTTTTGGTGTCAAATCCAAGAAATTATTGCCAAGAACAATGTCAAAAATTTACACAGATTCAGGTTAGTTTTTAAAAACATGTTTAAAATAAACTTTACTTTTCAGAGCAAACTTGAGTAGAAAGCAGAGACTTCCCCTACACCCTCTTGCCCAAACATGCGTGGCCTGCTCCACCAGAGTGGTACATTTGTCCCAACTACGAACCCATGCTGACATATCACTTCACCCAAAGTTCATAGATTACATTAGGGTTCACTTTTGTTGTACATTCTAGGGGTTTGAACAAATGTGTAATGACATGTTTCCACCATTATAGTGTCAGACAGAGTAGTTTTTCTGTTCTAAAAATGTTCTGTACTCTGCCTGTTCATCCCTCTTCCTAACCCCTGGCAACCACTGATCTTTTTACTGTCTCTATAGTTTTGCCTTTTTGAGAATGTCATATAGTTGGCCTCAAACACTCTGCAACCTATCAGATTGGCCACTTTCACTTAGTAACATGTATTAAAATTCTTCCTTGTTCTTTCATGGCTTGATAGGTCATTTCTTTTTGGCACTAAATAATATTCCATTGTCTGAATATGCCTCAGATTATTTACCAGTTTATCGTTTAGAGGACATCTTGGTTGCTTCCACATTTTGGCAGTTGCAAATAAAGCTACTATAAATACCCATGTGCAGGTGTGTGTATGGACTTAATTTTTTTATTCTTTTGGGGTAAATACCAAGGGGCACACTCCCTAGATTGTGTAGAAAGAATATGTTTAGTTTTTTTTAATTGATAGATTTTTAAAATTTTGATATAATTGCTATACAACATTATATCCGTGTCGGGTGTACACCATAATGATTCAATGTTTATATATTTTGAGAAACAATTGCCACAATAAATCTAGTTAACCTCCATCACCATAAATAGTTATAAAAAAATTTTCTGTGATGGAAACTTTTAAGATCGACTCTTTTAGCAATTTTCAAGTATGCAATACAGTATTATCAACTATAGTGCCCATGCTGTATATATTTTTTTTTTTCTTTTAAATCCTCACCCGAGGACATTTTTTCATTTTTTGTTCAGATAGACTGGGAGGGAGAGAGAGGAAGGAGAGAGAGAGAGAGAAACATCGACGTGAAGGGACACATCTAGTGGCTGCCACCCGCACGACCAACCAGGGCCGGGGACAAACTGCAACCGAGGTACATGCCCTTAGCGGGAACCGAACCCGGGTCTCTCCGGACCGCAGGCCGACGCTCTAACCACTGAGCCAAACCAGCCAGGGCCCCATGCTGTATATTACATTATAGTTTCAGGTCTTACGTTTAAGTCTTTATTCCATTTTGAGTTGATTTTTGTAGATGGTGTAAGACAGGGGTCCAATTAGGTTCCTTATTCTTTCACGGTGTGAGATCAGCCACCACTTTTACGTCCATCTTCCAAAATGTGTGCTTGACATCTGGTGTTGGGTGTTCGTCTACCCCTGCTGCTTTCTGCAGCAGACTCTCCATGGGGTAATTTAGTGGGGTTTCCAAGGGAACATGGATAAATGCGGATGTGTTCAATCTGCCAGGTGTAACCGAAAGCATTTTTTTTTTTACCTTTTAATTTAATTGATTGGTGTGACATCGGTTAGAAAATTATGTAGGTTTCAGGTGACAGTTCTCTAACACATCAGCTGTATTGTGTGCTCACCACCTCAAGTCAAGTCTTTGACTGCCATTTATCCGCCCCATACCCTCGTCTACCTCCCCGCCCCTTTCCCTCTGGTAATCACCATGCTGTTGTCTATGTCTGTGAATTTGTTGGTTCTTTTTTTTTGCTTAATCCCTTTGTCTTTTTCACCCAGCGCTGAAACCCTGTTGGTTTGTTCTTTATCTATGAGTCTATGTTTATGTTGTGTGTTAGTTTAATTTTGTTCATTAGATTCCACATGTGATTGAAATCACATGGTACTTGTCTTTCTCTGACTGGCTTATTTCACTTAGCATAATGCTCTCCGAGTCCATCCACGCTGTGGCAAAGGGTAAGATTTCCTTCTTTTTATAACTGAGCGGTATTCCATTATGTAAATATACCCCAGCTGTTTTATCCACTCATCTACTGATGGACACTTGGGTGTTTCCAGATCTTGGCTATTGTAAATAACGCTGAAATGAACATGGGGGTGCATATATTTTTTTGAACTAGTATTTCAGGTTTCTTTGGATATATTCCCAGAAGTGGAATCACTAAGTCATAAAAACAGCTCCATTTTATTTTTCCTAATCCTCACCGAGGACACTTTTGCATTTATCTTCAGATAGAGTGGGAGGGGAAATGGGGGGAGGGGGGGAAGAGAGAGAGAGAGAGAGAGAGAGAGAGAGAAACATCAATGTGAGAGAGACAAACTGAGTGGTTGCCACCCACACCAACTGGGGCCAGGGACAAACTGCGACTGAGGTATGTGCCCTTATCGGTAACCAAACCTGGCACTCTCTGGTCAGCGGGACTCTCTCTAACCGCTGAGCCAAACTGGCTAGGGCAAAACAGCTCCATTTTTATTTATTTTTTAACTCATCTTTATTATTGAATGTATTACAGACGTTCCCCTTTTTTCCCCATTGACCCCCCTCCTCCCCAATCCCGTGCTCCTCCAGCCTTCCCCACACTATGATCGGTGTCCATTGCTTATGCATATATGCATAGAAGTTCTTTGGTTTATCTCATCCTGCCCTCCCTCCCCCCTTCCCTTTGAGGTTCATCAGTCTAACAACCAGTTTGTACTTCTTAATTCCTTCATCTATTTCACCCACCCCCCTAACCCTTGCCCATCTGGCAAGCAATAAAAAGTTCTCAATATCTATGAGTCTGTTTCTGTTCTGCTTCCTCATTTTGTTTCTAGATTCAGTTATTGATAGATATGTACTAATTGACATTTTATTGTTCATATTTTTTGTTCTTCTCCTTCAACATTTCATATAATACTGGTCT